ATCGATTAAGGCCATGCATGGATAATGTTTCCAAATTTATCCCTTCTCTAGCCTCTAAAAGCCTAGATTTAAAACCCTAACTCAAAAAGGGACCAAATGACCTAGAAAGTTCATGCATGGTTGATTCATGACCAAGATACAAACTTTATGGGACCATAAGGTCCAAGAACTAGCATATATCTTATCAAAGGTCTCGGAGTTGCTTCAAACTCCAAGGATTCATTTCCAAAAGCAAAAAAGGGACTTAATCACATCATAAGCAACTCATAAAATCGAAAGGTATGAAGTTTATACCTTCTAGAGCCTAAGGATTGAAGTAGAAGCAACCCTCAACAGCAACAAGTCACACACAAGCTTGAATCACCCTCTCCTTCTTAAAAGAAACTTGAAAGACCAATAACACACACACACACATAGACACTCGACGGTTTCTCTTAAAGGGATGGAGGCGGGAGTTGAGAGAAAACCCTAGCCATAATGTTGTTTAAATAGGGCTTTAAGACCCGAAATTAGGATTTCTTATTTGGTCGTCGCCACATCGTGGCCATTGCATGATCACATCGTGGTGATTGAAAACACGCGTCTCTTTATGGAGTGCTAACACGTCGTGGTGAGCTTCAGCACCACGTCGTGGAAGCCATAAAACTCTCAAAAATAACAAGGTTGGGTCTCGAGAGCAATACCTAGGAATAGATGTTACAACAAAAGGCAATAGGGAAGATGATGATTAAAGTTTTAGGAAGCCTATTAGTAGTCCTTTGACAGTGTGAAGAATTTGGCTAGGATATCCCCTTGTGTTACTATAAGGTAAGGCTATAAGGAGTGGGGGTCGCCACCCTCGCTAGCAAGCGCCAAACATCGCTCCATGGCTTACGCCAAGGGGGTCGCCAAGGAAGCCTCGTCATGGCTGTAGCGAGAAAGAAGAGAGAAAATTTGGGGTCAAAGGGTTGGGTTTAACAGCTATAATGCTTTGCCAACTTTTTTTAAAATGTCTTTTTTTATATAAAAAAAAATAGTCGTTTTTATTAAGAAAATCAATTTTCTAACTTCTTATCAACCACTATAAATAAACACATAAACCTCTACATTTCAACACACATAAATCTCAATACATCTCTCAAAATCTTTATCCTTTTATAAAAATGTCTTCATCATCGTCATCTTCCTGAGGTGATGCTCTCGAAACCGTAATACAAGCAGGCATCGACATACGTAAAATACTAGAATAAGCAATTAAGCTAGGAGTGAGCATTGTGCAACGTAAACGAAAAAGATATATCCAAAGAGAACGTGAAACAGTCCACCAACGTCTCATGTATGATTATTTTGACGAACATCTCTTCAAAGATATTACTTTTCTCTACGGTTCCGAATGCATAAAGATTTATTTCTACGTATTGTTGAAGGCGTGAGTGGAGCATATGATTATATCTGGCAATGCTCGGATGCAAAAGATACGTTAGGCTTTGATCCAATTCAAAAATGTACAACTTTATTTCATATGTTAGAATACGTTTCCCTCCCCGATGCACAAGACGAGAGTTTCACGATTCCTGCATGTACCACATGAGAAAGTCTTCACAGATTTTGTAGATCTATCATGTCTTTGTACGGTTCATGTTATTTGCGTCATCCTGCTTCGAGTAACACTCAAAAGTTGTATGCTAATATGGTGGTTAAGAATGGATAATGAGAATGAGGATAGTAAACAATGTAGTAATCCATTTCGATCTTCAACGCCATTTGATCAATCATCTTTAGATGATTGACAACCTTGATTTTAATATGCCACCCGAAGATGAATTGGAAGGCCAATTTATGGACGAATACATGTTGCTTTAGTTATGATGTGTTGTTTTTTTATGTATTAAGTCGTGTTTCTACGTATTAAGTCATGTTTTAATTTATTTAGTCGTATTTTAAGTTATAATTTATTGTAACTTTTTTATTTAATATGAAATGTTTGTGTTTTATAAAAATGTAATTTATTTAAAATGAGAAAAAAAAAATCAAAAATGCATCTAGGAGCTAAGGGTGCTACCACACCCCAAGAAATGCTAAGGAAAGCATACCTTAAGATGGCAGCACAAAAATAAGGTAGCAGTGTGTACTAAGGGTACTACCACTCCCTCCAGCCTAAAGTTTTTTATCTATGTACATAAGCTTTTGATTATTATACATGCAATATAGTTTAATTTGATCGCCTTGGTTTAATTTAGGGTAAATTACATGAATAGTCCATGTGGTTTGGGGTAACAATATTTTGTTCATATCTCTTTTTTAACTCGAAATGTCCTTGTAGTTTGGATTTATTTTGGATTTGGTCCCTAACAGAATTGAAATGGTTGTTATACTTTTTTCTTTTTTTATCTTTCTTTTTTTGTATTTCTTTTCATTTTACAATTATTAGAGTAAATTACAAAATTGATCCATGTGGTTGGGCCCAATTCACAATAATAATCCACGTATTGAAAACGTAAGATTGATGGTTTGTAGGGTTTACAGTCCATAACAATAAAGTCCACCAGACCAATAGTGTTAAGTTAGTTTCGTTAATAGTATGTGAAAAGCTACTTTTTCCCCCACCCATATGTTATAACCCTAACTCGACACTCGGTCCCTCCTTATTCTTTCTCCTTCTTGACGACAGTCCGCTCCCAGGATCATCACCTACAAAACTCGACATCTCCAACACCAACACCATCGACGGTCGGCTAACAATAGCAGCGTCATCAACAACATCTCCATTACAACCTTCTTCGATTTCAGTTTAGAATCTATCTTTCCTTTGATTTCAATTTTGCTTAGATATATATTGTTGATTTGTGAACCAGATGCCATTTAGGTTAGTATTTTAGGTTGTTTTAGGTTGGGGTTAGAAGTTGAATTTTTGGAAATGAAATGAAAATTTGAATCACTTATATTTCATTTCAGGTCTTGAAGTCACTCTAGTCATACTAGGTGAATTTCAAGCACCCACTGGAAAAGATTGTCTTCGTGCGAAGAATAGGGACATAATACGAGGTGAATTTCAAGCACCCACCGAAAAACATTGTCTTCCTAATGGAAATGTTAAGGCTCCACCACAAATAAGACAACAATGTTTAGTCTTCTAGACAATCAGTTGTTTGGTTATGTTTTTAAAGACAATGTGTGGTTTGGTAATGTACTTTAAAGACAATTTGTTATTTGGTTATGTTTGTTGAAGAAAATGGTTACTAATGTACTTTAAAGACAATGTGCTAGTCTTTGTGTGTTGTTATCCTTGTTGTGATTGTAATATTAGTGTCAAGTGCAATGATGGTATGGCATTGGGATGGTGATGTAGTGACAATGAGGGAGGTGGTAGTATGGCAGTGGGATGGTGGTGTGGTGACAGCAAGGGGGTTGGTGATAGGGCAATGGGATTGTGGTGTGGTGGTAGTAAGGTAAGTGCATTTTAAGGATTAAATTGTTTAGTCATTGAAGTGGTTTTTAGTCCTAGTGTGTTGTGGGGTTAAATTGGTTCAAAAGACACAGATGTGACGATAGATGTGATGGTGGTGTAGTGGTAGTCATGGTGGTGGTGTTAGATGTAGACCAAAAGTGTTTCATTAAGATATTTTTAGTTTAAGAGTAATTTAGTCTTTTCCAGGTTTTTTTAGTATTTCGGTAGTGGTTGCAGCAACAAATGGTGGTGATATTGTGATGGTAGTTGTAGCAGTGAGTGGTGGGTGGAGGTGGGTCAATGTTATGGTGGTTATGCTAGTTAGTATTTATATGAATTTATTAGTAGCTAATTAATACAAGATAATACATAAGGGCAAAATGATCAATAAAAAATCTAGGGTTATTATCAATCTAGCCCAGCCAACTTTCACTTTTTGGTTTAAAAGGTCCTTCATGTTATTTTTTTGCATCCTAGGGGATTAAACTTTCAAATTATAGATTAAATAGAGGATGCAAAAAATAAAAATAAAAAACTCTTATCTCTTTCACCTAAATAAAAAATAAAAAAAGGTCCTTCAGTTGCCTAGATGAGTTGGCGTCCACACAGCATTTGGTCAACTGAAATTATTCATGTGGAGCTCACATGCTGTGCAGGTGGATGTTTCCTATTAAAATAAAAAATAAAAAAAATAAAAAAAACTCTTATCTCTTTCACCTAAATAAAATCAAAGAGCCACAAAATCATGTAACCCTAAGAATAAGAACCTGTGTTCGTCTTTTTTTTTTCTACATCTTTGCCGGCAACAGAATTGACCCAAAAATTGACAATAGTTGTGTTCTCCCCCAAAATCAACGAATCTGACGCAAAATTGACTCCAAAATAACCAGATTATAACCTGGAATTGAATGCAGGTTATGTGACAATTCCATGGGCTGGTTATGTAGGAGCTCTAGTGACCTTCTACATTATCCGAATTCGATTCTGAGTAACCAATGATTAAGACTGTAAACTGATCTGATCATGAGCTTGTCGGGACACTAAGTGTGTACCGTCATAGTAATAGTCACCGAAAAGTACTTAGAGGGGGAATACAATGAAGAAGCATAACGAAGCGACGCCGATAAAGATGAATATCACTTTATCTGTTTTGTTTGTCATTTATTTCTGAAAGTGAACTTTTTCATAACTTTCACAATACTTCTGATTAGGTACAACTTCGACTGAATCGAACACCAAATTCGACTGAAACAAAATCGGATTTACAAACCTGGAATTGAATGCAGGTTATGTGGGAGTTCCATAAGCGAGGAAGGAACTGGGCATAGACGACAGTTGTCGGATAAAATAGATCGGATAATTGTCGGGACTGAATGCAACTCATTGGGTGTTTTGCAGGTGGGTGTTCCAGTGGTGATCCAAATCTACATCAACCTCGAGCATTCCCCCTTTCCTAGATTTCTAACAAAATCATATAACAAATTAAGCAAATCTTCATGAATTCTAACAAAAGATTTGATCCTTTACCTGTCATTCGAGAACAATTTCAAAATCAGGTTGTGTTTCTGGAAGCAAGTCAAATAGACGAGAAGGTCAAAGAAATGGGAGAAGAAATCACTGGAAGGTGCATTTCCAAAAAAAAAAAAAAGCCACATGGCTTATTCTTTTAAATTTTTGTTTCTAAAAAGAAAATGAAAAGTCAAACAAGCTTTCTGCAACCGGTAAAACCGGCTTAAAATATGGTCCATACCTTTATCAGCAGGTAAAACATAAGTTTATGCCCCTAGGATGCAAAAAAATAACATGAGGGACCTTTTAAATCAAAACGTGATAGTTGGTTGGGTTACCATGACAATAACCGATAAAGTGATAGTTGATAGTGGTTGCAGCAACAAATGGTGGTGATACTGTGATGGTGGTTGTAGCAGTGAGTGGTGGATGGAGGTGGGTTGATGTTATGGTGGTGATGCTAGTTAGTATTTATATGAATTTATTAGTAGCTAATTAATACAAGATAATACATAAGGGCAAAATGATCAATAAAAAATCTAACACCTACTAACTTAACACTAACGGATAACGGTATGGGGAACTTGATTGTTACGACTTGTAAACCAGAGGAGCCCTCACCGTTATTTTTTCAATACTTGGACTATAAGTGTGAATTGGGCACAACCATGTACGGGTTGATTTCTTTGATCTCGCCTAAGAAAATGAAGGGGTTGGAGAAGGGATGATGACAGACCTAGGTCGGAGAAGACGGAAGGAGTAGAAAGGAGGGGATAAGGTGGTCATCAAAGAGGTTGATTTCTTTGATTATCACCAGAGAAAACAAAGTATGATGTGGGGAGGGGATGCCGGCTGGCCTAGGTTGGAGAAGACAAACAGGGTGGAAGAGAAGGGATCAGGTATAAACTCTTGATAATTTTATAGTGATAAAAATAGAAAATATAGAATAAAAAAGGGTAATATAGACAATTTATGTATGTTAGAGACAAAATTCAAAACAAATCCAAACCATATGGAGCTCCCGAGTGTAAAAGAAAAGTTAGTGACCAAATACACAAATTACCCCAAAACCATAGGGACCATTTATGTAATTTACTTTTTAATTTATAAAATTATGGTTTAAGTTGTAATTTATTAAAGTAGTTTTATTCATAATCAAAAACAACTGGCACGAAAACAAATCACAAGAACCAAAACACTTGCCAAAACATAAAAATGACTTGCCCCATAATCATAAAGAATGATAAAATTTACTCAGTTACTTGTAGTACACACCTTGTGACAAAAAATTACTTACCTCAGCTGCAACATCATAAGCACTCTCCACACATTTACCTAAAGCCACCCCAGACACATAGTTGCCACCGAGAAACATACCTTGAAATCCACCGTTGCTCAGAGCAACTTTTGCAGAATCTAGAATGTCATAATGACCAATCAGAAACTGCGGGATTGCTCGAGGCCACACCCGCACTCCCAAAGTCAATGGATCTCCCGCATCACGCCTTATCAGCATCTTCCGTAGGTCACGGTCAACCGCATCCACAATTTGGCCCTCCGTCTTATCATCAAATTATAATTTATAAATAAATCCATGTTTTTAAAATATTATAAAAAATAATAATAAAAAAAAAAAAACAAACAAACAAACAAACAAACTTAAGTCTTACCTTTGATAGGATTTCAGGATTTGTAGCCCCTCCTATGTAGTTCAAGAGCAAAACCCTTCCAGGTGGCGCTCGGTTAGGGAAAAGAGATGAACTGTAGATCGTGCCTGAACAATCAAAAATATTAACATAAAGTATTAAAGAGAGAGAGAGAGAGAGGAGAGAGAGAGAGAGAGAGAGAGAGAGAGAGAGAGAGAGAAAGAAAAAAAAGTCACCTAAAGTTTCCACCCCTTGACTTCGTGGATGCAACTGCCCAAAACCCTTGAGTTGACCATCAATCAAACGGTCAGCACGAATTGCATCTTTTGGATATGAAACAGATACAGCTGCAACCGGAGGATAATAAAACTTTGACAATTCATCTGCTGCACCCAACTGAAATAATAATAAAAATAATAATAAAATTTCGCATTCAAAAACTGTTTGAGCATACCACCATTATTCTTTAACATACCGAAAGAGGACGCAACAAGTCACTCGCCACGTAGGAAGGAACAGTCATCACAATGGTTTTAGTCCGCAAACTTTGAAATCCGTTTGGTGTTTCATATGTCAAGTTATAACCTCTACTTTCCAATTTTGAAATACTCGTGAGCTTCCAAGACAATTTCACTCTGCTACCCAACCTAATAAAAATTTGTGAAATCATCAAAACAATCTGGAAACATATTCACATAGAATTAAAAATCATTAAAATTACCTGGATGAGATTGCTTTAGGCAACATTGCTTGTCCTTTCCTAAAAGATCCAACAGTTTGGCCCTTTGGTTTGGGTAACCTCCTGTCCACATATTCAAGCATCTTTATAAAAATATAAAAGATCCAACAGAAGAGTTTGGGGTTAAGAATATTACGGGTCCCGCGGAGGCTTTTCAGTATTATTTCTGTCCCGAATTGCCTTGAAGGCTCCACCAACAATGCTACCCCCGTTTTGCTCGAGGTTCCAGACCTTTCCAAATGCTGCTTTCATACTAAGTTTTGAGGGATCGCCAGCATAAACACCTGAGCAAAATGGTTCTATCAACCGTTCGAAAACTTCATCTCCAAGATTGCGTCTAACAAACTCCTCAACCGATTCTTCACGGTCCTGTTACAACTTAGAATGTGATGTCATGATATGATTATGATGTAGAATGAGGAATGGAATGGAATGGATTATGGAGTACAAACTGGGGGTGAAGGACGGAATCCAAGAGCACCAAAACCGGCTCTGACTTTTCCAGGAAAGCTCATGAGGTCAAAGAAAGGGATGTCGGCTGGTTTGGACGGAACTGGTTTCAATTCACCCCCCCATAATACAAACCGCGGTGCAGTTGGGTCACCTAACACCAGATCATCCTTCAACCCGCTATCCACCTGAAATATGCATATCACTATGAATTAACACCATATTTTATCCAAACATTCTAGCAAAATTACTGCATTTCAAGTAAGCTTAAGTGAGGATATATGAGGGAGGTACGATTCCAGAGGGTAAAGGATCCGTAGAATCTTCAAGTGAGTGAGGATATATGAGGTACTTGGCTTCCTGCTAATGCCTTGATGGGAACTAAAAAGTCTGGATATGAAGAATTTGATCTCTAAAAATCATATCCACTCTTGTCCATCTTAATCAAGCACCTCGATAGCAAGGATGTCAGCGGATTTTTGTGTCGATGATGTCACAAAGGCAATATATTGAGGAAGTCAAAGCCAATGAATAATCAGTCCGCAGGGGTGAGTGCAGAGAAAATAAAAAAATTGTGCTGGCTATAACACATGGAGGGGATCTTGCTTTATTTGAGAGTCTTATTGCATCTACTATGTGGTGGGTGCCAGCTGTGAAAGAATTCCTTGGTGTTATGCACAGTAACCCTTCCTGCATGCTCACAAGACGAATCCTCCACAGACTGGACCTGCATCTTTGGATCACGACCCATATGTCAATGTTGCAAATGGTTTGGATTGTTCTCCAAACCCTAGGCTTGAGGACAAGCCTGTTTCAAGACGGTGGTATTGATAGAGAACGGGTCAAATATTAACATAGAGCAAACATGGAGGGACCTGGTTGTAATGTTTATTACTTTATGTTTTACACGTCACTCTAGAATCATCCTTTGTTAGGTTAAATAGCATGAGTCATAGCAGTAGTGGGATTCATTAAGTATTTTGCATTTGTATTTTGAGTCTTCGGCATTAGCTTGGGCAGGAGGTCATCTCTTTGAGATCCTCTCTGGTTTAGGTCAGGAAGGACAATCATTTGATTAACTTCTCTGAATTGTTATTCTCTTATTTCCACGTGAAGTTCATAGTAATCAAGCATTCAATTTCTGTTCTTCATTATTGTGTTATCGATTCCTATCACACGACCAAGCTCACTTAACAAGTTAACATGAGGAACACAGCCAATAAGTGGCATAGCAGCTTGACAAGTCCAATTATTACAATGCAATAATCCTACCAATGAACAAGGAGCAACATTGTCTCAAACCACTTGAAGGCTTGTTTCTTTTCTATAAAAATCCTCAAGATTTAATTCAAGGTCCACTGGTAGTGACCTCATTGATCGATTAGATATTAGATAACTTGAAAGAGATCTACTAGCACGTCTTGCAAATGCACTGCAAGGCCCATCATTTAGTTTAATTAGTGATGCCATCATAGTTGTGAACTCATGACTCAAAAATGTAAATTTTCTACTCGTGACTCAACTTGTAAGAGCCACGGTATTACAATATATACATCATACACATATACAGACATAATATTTTGGGAAATTATATATATGAGTAGTAACTGGAATGTACCAAAGCTGGAAGTGTTGGGCTTGAATATAAATATTGAGAAGTGATGGGCTTAAATATAAAATATAGAAACGCCAATTTGACTTCAAAGCTTGGATATCATATGAAAAAACTTAAGGTTTTCTAGAGAAGTTGTTGAGAAAGGTGACAAGCCAACTGGAAACACACTTTTTAATGGATATAGTTTGAAGGTGAGTGAGAGAGATGCCAACTAAGGGGCTGAATATATAGGGATGCCTAGTCGAATATAGTTAGAGGTTGTTTCTTTTCTAGAATTAATAAAATGTCTGAATAGGAATAAATGACGATTATACCCTCTTTTATAAAATTTATGTTTAAAATAAAATAACTTATCAATTTAATAATAGTCAAATATATGATTATAAAAAATAATTAATAATAAATTAAAAAATTAAAAACACACACACACACTATAGATATATTTGATTGTTAAAATAATGAATTATGTCTTCACGGAATCACGGTTCTATTTTAAAGTATTTAAATAATAAATGGTTTCATATTTAAAAAATAATACAAAATAAAGGCATAATCTCATATCTATCATTGTTATCTGGAAAATGAAGATTTAAATCTATAAAGTATCCATATCTTCACTTAGCATGTTAAGTCATGATTTATATATTAAGTAAAAAAGAAACATTCATATATCTGAATCTATTAAGTTTGGTTCATGTTAAATCCATAGTCAAAAAGAAACGGCCACTAAGCAATGAGAAGCTAGAGGTACAGGGGAGATTTTGGAGGCTATACGCCATTTCTATCCACCTTGAGGACAAGGTTTTAGATTAGGGTAATGTGGGAAATCAGCAAAACAAAAAAGCATCTTCTTAGTGCATGGGTAATTTAGATATTTTACCTTGTTTTAGTTTGTTACATGCAGTACTTATAGGAGGTACAGCAGGTGAGAGAAGGGATCTTTTGTAAAAATCTGGTAATTCTACCATTGGGAGAGGCTAGGCTCTTGAATCCCTAGTAAATCATTAGGGTTACCTTGTTCATTTTGGTGTATTTTGAGTATTAATCGGTACATTGAAGCTTTTATTGATTTGTTGCTTTTTTTCTGATTTCAACTTATTAGTCAGTTTATAGCATAGAATGTTAATATAATTTACCAGAGGAAAGTAACAAATGCAAAGAGGAGAGAAGTTGTCTAAGTTGAAGGAGTGATTGTGCTAGCTAAACTTGGAAAACCAAGTTCTCATATCAAAGATGTCCTTGAGGAATCTGTGAAGACAGAACTAATCTAGACTAGCCAGCATTTCCCAATCCTTCCTTCTGAAATATGGTAACTCAAGACTCAGAAACGGTGAATAACTATAGCTGTTTCTATAGAAGAGAGAAAACATATAACCATAGAATGAGGAGATATTGTAAAATCATAAATGTGAAACAGTAGAATCTAAGAAATAGGTCATGGAATGTAATGGATCCAAATCTGAACCACAAACATAGGACTTGAGTAAAAGGAAATTTAACCAAATGTATTGAGGTTTTCTCCTCCATGGTACAAGAGATAAATTCAGATATACCTAGTCATAGCGGGAAGAGTCATATGCTCCCTTTAAAAACGAGGTCCAGACTTTTGTTTTATCTCGACCACGGTATTTTCCAAAGATATAAGGTATATGAATATGATTACTAACTTAAAATCAACACTCTTCAAGATTTGTGTTGCTTGTTACAAAGTTTATCCCTAAGAATTTATAATGAAAGGAAATCACGACATACCACCATGGTGAGCATAGCATCAGATGGCTGGAAGCTGTTAGGACCTTCTTCCCAGAGATACCCATCCCTTTCAACCGTTGAGATATTGCCCCCGACTCTGTCTCGTGCCTCGGTGACAATCAGATCCGGAGAGACAGCGGCGTGTTTGGTCGCTAGGGCCTGCGCAATGCAAAGGCCGCTAATGCCGGCGCCCACAATGACACAGTCCAGCAATGACTGGGAGTTGGACTCATTTGAAATAGGAGGAGTAATTGGGGAATCCTTGGCAATTGAGCAGCGGAACCTCCACCTATTGCATTTGCGATGCGCCGGAGCATAGGTGATGAGGTTCCTACGATTCTTTGACGTCAACGACCCTCCGGAAACAGGTAGCGGAAGGGACGACCAACTACGGGAACCAACGTCTGTGAGAGATGTCATCTTATCTGCTTCTCTTCTAAATCTGTAATTTCATTCTCCGGGTTTACAAGTCCTGCCGATTTTGCCAAAAGAATAAATAAATAATTACGTATTTTTATTTTCAGTGATTTACAAGTTTTAACTTTTTAACTTTTAATTTTATTTAATTTAGAGTAAATGACAAAAATCGTCCTTGTGTTTATGTGAAAATCAATAATTTGATCATTAAAAAGTTGTTGATTTCATCCCATGGTTTGTTTTGATTCAGATCCCCATCATTGGGGTTGTTTATTTTTTTGTTAAATAAACATAAAGTTACTAATTTACCCTTAACTTATACTAGTTATTTTAAAGTTGGCATGATATGCTCTCCATCTTCGATCATTTAGTGACCCACCCAGTCTCCCTCTTCTTCCCATCCATACCATTCTCTAGGAACCTCATTGCAGCAACAAGTTCACTCCATTGACCTCCCATCACTTTCCCAAAGAGGGAAAAAGGGGGAAAAACTGATGTGTCCTTCCAAAGTCCATGGAAAACGAGACCAAAGAGTTGTAACACCTATTTTAGCTAAATGGTTCATTTATGTTTTTGGTTCAATTAAAGATGTAAAATCATGGATTTTAAGATGATCACGACATACGGAAAGGAGGCCTCACGACATGACCATCGATGCAAAAGCGCACACTCATCTTTGTGGGTCACAACGTGACAAGTAAGTGGTCACACGACGTGATGGCTACCTAGGGGTTAACTTGTAACATCCGGTTTCGAGAAGTTTATTATTTCGGGATTGTGGACGATAAATGGATCAAGTAAAGGCCTTAGGCTTCAAGGGAATATGGTTTAGAATCTATTGGATGTTGATAATATTGGTTATGTGATCTAAGCCTTGGTTTTGTGTTTTAGTGTCAAAGGAGAAAGTGGCAAAAGTGATGTTTCAAGCTTCCTTTATGGATTATGGTTTTTTGTTCAGCATGTGCTAAGCCAAAATTAACTTGATAGAAGTGTATGGATCGTCAATACCTTTTCGTGGATATAAAGATTGACGAAAACGAGGTTGTAACACCCAAAGTCTGGAAGGCCAAGAAAGGAAAGAAAACCCTAATTTTAAAGGGCGGCTCGGCGAGTCCAAGGAGGAACTCGGCGAGTCCGAGCGGGATCCGGGTCGAGGAGTAAGTGACCGACTCGGCGAGTCGGCCAAGGGGACTCGACGAGTCTGGTCTGTGCGAGGAAAACCCTAAATTCGGGACTTGGAGCTTATTTAAGCGCCTCATTCTCCTCCTTAGGGTTCCTTTACTGCCTCTCTAACCCAGAACACCAAACCCTAGCCGCCATATCCATTGTTTGAGCCATTTGTTGCCTTGAAGGGTGCATTAAAGCTTGGAGAAGGAAGAAGGAATTTGGAGGTGCAGGAAAGGACTATAGATCTGGGATTGTGAGAATATTTTTGAGCATTTAGAGGTAATAAACTAGTTCGTGGACTCTTTTGCACCTAGATCTATGTGTGGTTGTTGGGGCTTTTTAGCCATAATGATATCCATTTGAGTTAGAAGTCAAGTCTGAAGTTGCTACTTCGGATCTAAGCATATTATGGTCTTGAGAAGCATAAAGTATCTACCCTTGAGTTGATTATGGAGCCTCTTTGCCTTAATCCTTCTCTACACGTAAAGTTTGCAAATTTACGTGAGGAATAGGCTTGGGAAGGGTAGATCTACAGTTTGGAGTCCATGCATGACTCAAAAGTCCTCTGTATGTAAGGAGATCTGAATGGACTCGGCGAGTCCTTTGAGTGGACTCGGCGAGTAGCATGAAGAGTAGGAGCAACTCGACGAGTGGGATGAACAGCTCGTCGAGTCAGATGAAGATTGCCTTGTACTCAGTGAGTCTGTTCTTGGACTTGGTGAGTCAGGACGCGAAACCCCAAACCCTTCGAGTTGAGACTCGAATCAGTGACTCGAGTGGAGACTCGGTGAGTTGGACAGGTCAGGACTCAGAAATCGGTAGACTCGACGAGTCATGGACTGACTCGGCGAGTCGAGACGCGAAAGGAAGGACTCTGAATATATGAACTCGGCGATTCAGTATGTTGACTCGGCGAGTTGCGTTGACCTGGGAGGTTGACCTTGACCAGGACTTTGACCTTGGCCAGAGTTGACTTGGTTGTCTCTCGGGGGTCAGTTAGACTCAGTGTTGCTTTGATATTGGTAGTTCGGGGAGCAAGGGGAGCAGGAGTTCAGAGAGTTGCCGGGCAGCAGCTAGTGAGATCATCAGCAAGTTCAACCGGTGCAGGTGAGTTTCCTTTTGTGTGAATGGGTCTAAGGCCACAATATCGGCCCATGTAGTTATGAGTAGAAGGCCCGGGGGTTAGCCCTAGGCACAGTATGCTAGTATGATATTCAGGACGGGGTCCGTTAATAGTGGGCGGGTGCCCAAGGATTTGTTTACATGATAGTTTATACTTGTTGTCTGTGTGATACATGTATGTGCCTGGTTGGGAGGTGAGTGTGGGCGAGGTCCCGTATCTCACCAATAGCAGAGTGTGGATGGTGTTCCACATCTCATTAGTAGCAAAATAGGGGCGAGGCCCAAGTTAGGGAAAGAGTGAGTGTGGGTTGGTCCCGTATCTCACTACCACTAGGAGCGTGGACGGGGTTCCATGACTCATCAGTAGCAGGACAAGGGGGAGGCCCAAGATAGGCGGGCCTTAGGACAGGATCATTCGTATGAGTTTAGCTTATGTGTTGTGATATGTTTATGTGTTATTATTTGTCGGCGGGCGAGGCCCTGTGATATGTTTATCTGTTATTATTTGTTGGCGGGCGAGGCCCTGTGACATGTGAGGCCTAAGTGAAACATATATGTATCCAAGCGGGGCTCGAAGCCAGGTGGGGCCTGGAGCGGCAGGGCCGTTATAGCGGGCGAGGCCCGAGGCAGGGGCGAGCCCCAGGATAGCGGGCGTGGCCCAGTATGTGCAGTATGTGATTATGCATGGTATGTGGTAGGGTGGGGAACTCACTAAGCTTCATGCTTACGGTTTTCAATTTTGGTTTCAGGTACTTCCGGTAGCGGAGGGAAGAGCTCGGGGTGATCGCATGGTACACACCATAGATTAGGCAGCCTGGGAATGTTTACTCTGATAACGAACATGTGTTTTGAAAATTAATACTCTGATTATGTTTTGTAATGATGAATTTGCTTAAAGTAATGTTTTATTAAAAGAAATTTTTGGTCTTGAATTTTGGATCGTTACAAGTTGGTATCAGAGCCTTGGTTTGAGGGATTCGGACATGCTCTCGGGTGTGTCTGAACTCAAAATGAGGAATTGGTATAGAAGTTTTCAAAATGAAAAGACAGTTTGTAAAAAGAGAGTTTTGAGAAAGAAAACAGTTTTAGAAAAGCAAAAAGAATTCAAAAAGAAAAGAACTTTGAAAAGAGAAAAGAGGTGTGGTGCATGCAATCAACCGAGCTCAAGTAAGTACCCCAAAATACCCATACAAGTCTATGTTTTGATTATCAATTAATAGAACAACATGCTAGATTAGGACTAAGGATCTAGGGAGGATGCCTTATGTGCCTGTTAAATGTGCTTTGAGTTGCATAATAGTGTTGACTAGATAGTAGTAGGATAGCCTTTTTAGGTTATGCCTGAGTATATGAGTTTGTGTTGCATGCTAGTTCAGATTCTTGGTATGATATTATGATTGCTTGAGTATGTTATGGTTAGATTTTCCCTTTGTCTGAATGATGCTTGCTTTGTGCATTGTGGGATTCTGAGTGATGGGAGTTAGCCATTAGGTGGATACGACACGTCACATGTGATCAGGGTTGAATAATCTCAGAGTGTTGGATTTGGTCCTATTGCGCAGCTCTTGTTTGAGTCCAACCGTTGTAGGGACGAGTCTTTTACTTGAAGGATTATCTGAGCCTCATCACATGTGATGGTACCCAGGTGATGGCTAATTGGCATCACAATGAGACCTTCAGCAGCTGAGGACTGGTTTGAGTTGAGTCAGAGATTTCCCTAGGGAAAGCCTAGGATGAGATAGTATTGGGAGCAGTAATAGTAGAAAAGGGACCTGGTGGAGTCGAAGCAGTTCCTGAGGAAAGTACGGATAGATGTGGAAGGTAGTATGGGCCCGTACTACTGAAAGCATAGGATCCGTACTCTATTCGGGAAAGGCCGAGACAAGACCGGGAACCTGGTAGTGCGTATATTTGGTCTCGCAGCAGTGAGGAGTATTCTGATAGTGGTTATGTTATATGTTTCAGCATGGTGACGTTGCGAGAGAGACCAGTGGGCGGATCAGGCTCCGGAGAGGGATCAGGCTCGGGTTCAGGGGAAGAGCAGCTCGAGGAGCAGATGAGGGAGTTGATATCAACTGAGGTTACGCGCAGTATTCTAGATCAGACTCCTGTGATCTTTGGCACGGTCAAGGAGGGTATATTGGAGATTTTGGATGAGAGGCTGGGAGCCTTCCGTACTGAGATGATGGCATTGATGGGAGCGCATACCTTGACATTTCGAGAGTTCAGGGCTTGCGGGGCACCGGATTATCATGGGGCTAGGGACCCCATTGCTAGCAGCAGGTGGTTGGCTGATGTTGCCAACGCGTTCCGTACGAGCCGGTGTCTTGAGGAGGACAAGGTCAGACTCGCTTCCTGTCTTCTGAAGGACAGAGCGAGGGATTGGTGGGAAGAGATTGGTCATGCTTTGGGTGATGATGCCGTGTTGGACGCGATGACTTGGGGTGATTTTTCAGCCAAGTTCACGGTGGAGTTTTCACCAATTATTGAGGTGCAGTAGTTAGCACGGGAGTTTTAGGATTTGACGCAAACCGATGAGACTGTGGCGGAGATCACCGCCAAGTTCAGGGAGAGGGCTCTTCTCGTACCGCAGTATGTCGCGGATGAGGAGATGAAGAAGGCCCGATATCACGAGATGTTGAGGGCTGACATCAGGGAGTTCCTGAGCAGGTACGACTGTAAGACGCTGGAAGATAAGATTTCTTAGGCTAGGGAGAGGGAAATTGATTTAGAGCAGATCCGGAAGAGGAAGTTGGATGAGGTTCAGGTAGCTATGAGTTCGGGCAAAAGGCCCAAGGGATCGGATTCGAGATCGAGGGATTATCGGGACCGCAGCCGATGCGGAAAGTGTGGCAGGGCGCACGGGGGCGCGTGTAGGAGTGGTAGTGGTGGTGAGTCTGGCTGCTTCAAGTGCGGTCGGACTGGACATTTTAGCAGGGATTGTACTGTTACCACCACTCAGGGATCAGACTTGATATATTTTCACTGCAATCAGTGGGGCCACAAGAAGGCCTAGTACCCCAGTTTGTTTTCAGCAGGACGGGTGATGGCACCTGCCCCTGTAACTTTGAGGATCACAGACGGCCGTCAGGGCCGTGTAGAGGCGCTTGCAGTAGGAGGCAGGGATTTTCAGATGGCTACCTTGGAGATGCGAGCAGCACCGGATGTTG